AGGAAAGTAGCTTGGGGAGAAAACAAGGCAGCTTCTCTGGGACTCCCAGCCCTTTTCCTTTTCTCTAAGCAGGGACTTGTCTTTTACATGTTGAGCACCACCGAGTGGTGGAATTATGCACTGCGTTTTTTTGTTCATTTTGTTCTGTTTTTTGGTTTTACACTGGAAACAATACCAAGATTAATTGGGTCACCATTTGATTTTGTGGAGTTATACCTAAGCTATCTCAAAACTCATAGATAAGTGATGCAGCTCCAACCCTTTTTCTTTCCAAAAATACAGCACAGGCCCTATGTTCCTCTTTCTTTGACATTTCCTTTGTGCACAGAGAATCAGAAATCTCGCTCTCCCAGCTAAGGAGCTGGATCAATTTATTACTGCTGTTCTCAGATGACTGGGGTGAGATGAGGATAAGACTTTTAAATGTCAGCTTGGTTTATTACATCTCTGTGGAAAGATAATAATACACTAAGAGGGGCAAAGGGGAAAGAGAATCCTTATCCGCAGGCCCTCAAGTGACTGGAGACAAAGGAAGATTCAGGAAACGTGCTGTGTTTAAGAAATTGAGATGTGCCACATTTGCAGCTCAGTTGTCAGAGCTGTTTAAGTAATTGGCTCACTGCTAATTTAATTTGACAGTGAAGTCAGTACTGTGGATGTTTTCTAATCACAGCTGCAGACAAATTAAAAACAATATTGAATAACTTTGTATTTTTCAACATTAATCTGTTTAGTAAACCACTTTGCTCCTGGAACTTGATTCTGCTTCATTCTTGGTATATGATCATTTACCCTTAGACCATTTAGACATAGAGAGAGTGTCTTGAATCCTGATAGAACCCAAAGTGATTTAGAAGCTATGTAGGCACAGCAGTACTGAAATCCCACCATCTCTGGCATGAGAGTCTCTCAATAAAACCCTGTTTTACCCGACTGTAGTTATGTAGGGATGAACTGTGAATTACTTTTCCAAAAGTAACTTCCTACTTGGCAGGGGAGATACCATAATCAAGGTTGCTTTCCCAGGGTGAGGCCTGTCCCTTGCACTCTGGGCAGAATGACCCCTGAAAGTTTCCAGGTGCGGAAAACTCGACTGCACAATTTTGTAGTAACAGGGGACTGTTTGCGCTTTCCCCCTAGCTTGCTTCTTCGGCCCTTTGGCTAGCAGCAAGCGTGACTAGGGGACATCCTTTGGGCTTAGGGCCTTCATATAGGATTTGAGAGTATCCGAAGTCCCAAACTGATGGGTCTGGGAGGAAGACTTGCCCAGTGGCAGAACCACTCAGACTGAGCCAAGCTCGATAACTCAATTCTATTTGGAATTCTGAACTAATTCAGCTTTAAGCCAACCCCCCCCCCAAAAAAAACCTTCTATCCTGAGCACAACAGAAAGAATAAAGAGCATAATCGTGCAGTGCAAGGCAGTTCTCTGCAGAGATGCCTGCCCAGCCTTGCATTAGAACTGGGAGCACTATCCATCTTAATGCAGCACTGCACGCAGACGAAATTAGCTTTGCTGAGAAGCCTGGATTATTAGCTCAGGCACAGTGCTGCGCAAACCCATAATTTATTTGTACAGCCTCCCAGTCTGGAGCTGTGGCCCGCAGAGCCAACTCTAGTATTTCTACACACGGTTGCATCGTGCTGTGTAGGCCTGGGTGTACAAGCCAGTGTTCACAGCTAGCTTGGGTACATCTGTGCAACACTGCATTGTGCCATGTATACCTACCCAAAGGATCCAACCAGGGGCTCAGCAGTATTCTCAGTATTCTGAGTTACAAAAAGAGATACTGTGCCAGAGATGATATAGAGGTACCAGAGATGGCTGGGATGATGGAGCTGCGGGTGGTCTTCCTTTGAGCAAGGGGTTGGACTAGGTGACCTCCTTAGGTCCCTTCCAACCCTCATTTCCTGTGATTCTGAGTCTACAATTACTGTCTCAGAGTGATTTTGGGTCTTAGTCAAAGAATATTTGAAAAGTACTTTCAGATCCCCGACAGTTAAACAGCTGCCAAGCAATGTTGTTGTTATTTATTGGTTAAATTTAGTTTGACACTGATACAGGTCAGCTAGGGATGTTTTTCTCCTTCTAACACTATTCCACTGTTTGCATACAAGTAAGCATCTGTCAAGTTCACACACTTTGCAGGCATTAATTAACAAAATCAGATGAAAAGCAGGAATGTTATCCACAGTATTTTAAAGGAACTGGACCATTAAGGGACTTGCTTGAGGCCAGGCATGAAGACATGAGCAAAAAGGCAGACTTGGCTTGCAGCCATGTGCTTAAAAGACAGGACCAGCTTTCCCCTAACTGTGTGTCATCAAAGAAGCACTGAATCTTGGCTTGACTGGTAGCTCAGGATGCTGCTGTTCTGGATACACACAATCAGGAGCAACCTCAGGATCCTTAGGCCACATCTACACGAGCAGGGGTGTGCATTTGCAGCAGCTGGCTGGGGCACAAGGTACCTCAGTGCAGCACTAGCCGGCAGGCAGCCCCCAGATTGAGGCACCCTATGCCCTAGCTAGCAAGGAAGCAGCATATGCCCTGGGCTGCCTACTCCCCCATCTCCATGGGCTGCAGAGCCCCTGTGCCCCAGCCAGCCACTCCCTGGCTAGCTGGGATGCAGTGTGCCTTGAGACAAGGGAGCAGGAAGCCCTGGGCTGGCTGCTCTCCTGCCTCTGCGTGCCTCAGCTAATGATAGTTCAAGGCTGTCAAGGCATTGCAGACATACCCCAACTGAAATATAAGAACTAGGAGCTGATAATGGGGCTGAGGGGTGTTTAAGCAGGTACAACTGCACTGAAAGTAAACATTTTTAAACAATATCCGAGTATGGCCAATCGTTAATACCTCTTAAAAGTTGCACAAAGCAGCACTAGCTAGCAATATTCCACGTTCACCTCTATGAAGCTCAGGCGCATTTTTTTCCCAGGGAGAACTACAAAAAGGCCACATGAATTAGCTGAAAACAGAGGCTCATTGCCAGCCAATAAATTGTGTCTTGGCATAGTGACACAGTAATAGCTTCTAGCTGCAAGTTTCTTTGACAATCTGCTGTGACCCTCTGTTCTTTAGAGACTATGACAGGATTTCTAAACCCACTTCATTTGTTAGCTCAATCACAATTTGCATATAGGTCATGAAAGGGAGAGTACACTACTCCCCACTGAAAGTCCTTCACTTTTCCCACAGGGCAAGATATTCCCCGATCCGCTTCAGCATTTACACTGTCATTCTTCTAGATAAAGAGATGCCTCTAACATGTCACAAGGGCCTTATAGATTTCAGTAAGCAATGGACTATGGCTGCCACCACCAGCCTGGCCTTGGTGCAGCTCACCTCTGGCTGAAAAGAAACTGCACTCACCGCAACCTGGGGGAGTTTCGGGAGGATGCTGAGAAACGTCAGTGGCATAGGCACAGCTTCCAGCTCCCTGGCCCCAACAGATTGTCTGTGCTCAACCCAGGCACAGCCCTGCATCTCTACAGACTGGGTTTAGTCCATGGGCTGTATGTTGCCAACCCCTAAGATACTGTCATGATCCCAAGCTTGGAATCAAGGTGCTAGCTGATACCTTTATGATGCACACTGAAAGGAAAGGAAGCCTTCATCATCTCAGGCAAATGCAAATAAATATAAAAACAGTCTGCTATCTAGAACTTCTGGTTTTCAAGAATCAGAGTATTATTTACCTGGAAATAGGACAGTAACCCTGCACAACTTCCATATGCCCATCAATGGTTAGTTTCAGATGGAGCAGCATAAGCACATATTTGTCTTTCTGGATTGATACCAAGGGGTAGATAAACAATGGAATTACATTTGCCTTCTATTTCTTAACATCATAGAATCATAGAAGTAGGGTCGGAAGAGACCTTGTAGATCTTCAAGTCCGACCCCCCGCCTGGGTGGGAGAAAAAACTGGACTCAAATGAGTCCAGTCAGGCAGGCATCAAGCCTCTTCTTAAAGACCCCCAGGGTAGGAGCCAGCACCACTTCCCTTGGAAGTTGGTTCCAGATCCTAGCCGCCCTGTGTAGTTCTTGCGGATGTCTAATCTAAACCTACCCTCCAATAATTTGTGTCCATTATTCCTTGTTATGCCAGGGGGCACTAGGGAAAACAGTGTCTCCCCCAAACCCTTCTGGTCCCCCCTAGTGAGTTTATACACAGTCACCAGGTCCCCCCTCAGCCTTCTCTTGTGAAGGCTGAACAGGTTTAGGTCCCGCAGTCTTTCATTGTAGCTTCCACCCACTGCATTGGCTCACCTTTCTAATCCTAACACAGTGCTTTTTGAAGTACGTTAGGCTCACCCTTCACTTCTGATTAGTTATCCTTAGAGCTGGCCCTTCTGGGGACTTCAGGTCCTCTCCAGTGATAAACCCATCACCATTTTCACTGAGAAAGGGAATGCATTTCATCATGCAGCTAAATATGTGCTTGCCCACCTTCCCTCCTGGGAAGAACTACCTATCAGTCATGTATGCATAGAATTATTAATCATTCTTGCACTCAGATAACAGCTAGAACATATCTGAAAACTTGGGTTTGTGCTAGAAGTAGGTTATTCTTGTAAGGTTCATACACATATTTTCACCACTTAAAAAACCCCTGAAAAAGGTGAAAATCTGTCAATTGGTTTACTATGCGAAATACAACACAATGACAACCACCACAATTGGTAAAATTAGTTTTTATTAATTTTTTGTCTGCTGCAGGGGTGTAGCCTCTCTGTAAAAAAAAAAAAAAAAAAAACCAAAACAGCTACAGGTAGAGCAGAGTAGTTTCCACTAAAGACTTTGCACTATATGTTCACTTGTGCATACCTGAAACCTTTGTGAGTTCTGAAGGCAGCAATGCAGCTTTTGTATCAGAACACCCAGTTAGCCATAAGTGTATTTGGATAGAAAACTGCAGTGCGGAATACAGTGACAATGCTACTAAATTAAGGCTGTTGCATATCACAATGCTACTTGATAAGTGTCTATTTTTATAAACTAGACATGTATTTTACTCCAGATGATATGGTTCCAAACGTTGAAAAGATATACATAAACTAAAAAAACAGGTGTGCAAAAAGGTGAGAACGTTAATTTTTTTTTATCTGCAGTCATTTATGGTCAGCTGAAAGTTTGCTCTTTAGTACAGGATGCAGAAGTCGTGTTTTTCCCTTGAAACATTATCCAAGTTCTCTGCAATACACAGTTTTTCAAGCCACCCAATGTGAGACCTTCTGTACACTACTAATTTGCAACAAAACTACACTGGAGTAAGTTTTATGCTGGTTTATTATAGTGGTCCGGGTCAGTCTTCAATGGATTTTATGTATTTCTCATATGCATCCTCACTCATCAGTTCATCAAGTTCGGAAGGGCTGTCCACAGTCATTTTGATAAGCCAACCTGAAATCACGCAAGAAAGTCATATTTAAAAGAAGTTGCTTGTATCCTATAAAAAAAAAAAAAAAAAAAAAAAAAGGTACGTCCAGCCATGCTACCCCCAATACAACAATAGCTATTCAAAACTGTAATACTCAGTAGAATTTGAGTGCCTTGCATGAACTAAACAATGGTCAGAAGGCAAAGTCTGTTAAGAGATGGAAATACAATCAAAATATGGTTGGTCTTTACTATCCACAAGTTAATTTAGTTTCACCCAGTAAATTCATCCCTTAATAAAATGGGCTAGTCAAAACAAAACTAAAAGCATTTAACTCTGGTGCTCACAGTGGCTGGAGAATACTAAGAAATTAATTCCTGTTCTATAATTACACTGGAGGAGTTTGGTTCTGCTTGTGATAGAGGCATCATCTGATCTTAAACGCAGCAGTGCTGTTCATTCATTGAAAGGATAAACAGTCCCTTACCATCGTTGTAACAAGATTTATTGACAAGTCCTGGATTATCTGCAAGGGCAGTGTTAATTTCGGTTACTTCTCCTGTGAGAGGAGAATATAGTTCACTAGCAGCTTTCACACTTTCCAGAGCGCCAAACTCATCTGAAATACAGAATATGTTTTTTGGGGGTTTTTTTTTAGAAGAGAAAACTTTCAGTGATTTAATGGGGTTGATGAATGATTTACAGATGATCATGTCAGTCTTTGGAAACTAACCAATGAAGAATCTAAGTCTGGCTCATCCCAAAAGGCTGAGAGGCAATTTAATGCCCCAATTTCATTACAACAACTAGAGATTTTAAGTACTCTAAGAGAAGGGGTAGTTCATAATAATACAACCAAGTACTATACAAGGGATTGAATTTGTTATTTACCTTGTCCTGCCCTTGTCATTTTAATAACCACATGTAAAATATGAAAGCTGGGGCGATGCTAGCATTAACAACTCACACTGCAAAGAAATAAGACAAAGTCTGGAAGAACATGAAGCTCTCAAAAGGGCAGGCAGGTTCAAGCTCTGGGAAATAAAATGCAACACACATCCAGGGAGCACTTAGAAGTAGATCTAGATCAAGTAGAATAAAAGGTGGAAGAAGGGAACAAAATTATTTCCAATAGGGTTAAAAAACTGAGTTTGTTCATTACCCATTGAAAGAGATAGGACCTTTGTGAAGAAGAATGTGACCACTCCATTCCACTTAGGAAGGTTACAGTGTGGTATGTTGATTATGGACCTCTGTCTAAAGCTTGAGACTCAAACTTTGCATAGTGCGAGGCTGACCCTTACACCACCTCTCTTCTAATCTCGTTATGCAATTTGCTACATCCCTAGTCAATGGTGGATTATCTCTTCATGTACTATAAAGCCATCCCCTTCCTTAAGGGCACAAGAGAAAAAGATTTTCTCTCCTGCTTGCAAAGGGACACTCATCAGCAGTGATTTCCACATTGCTACATTTTTTATGATTTAATAACGCACCTAAAATAACTGAGAAGTGGTATGGCTCAAGCACAGGGTTGGGAACTCCCAAGTGCTACTGCTTTGTTACTGACTGGGTGTAGCGGCTAATGTGTATACACAACTTTGTATCTGTAAAGTCTACATCAGCTCTCCCATATTGATTCATTAACCTAAACAAAGAAACAGCTTGTGAAAGACAAGCCAAGTAAACCATTTGAGAACACTGCCACGTTTTCAAATCACAGAATAAAAGTAACTTCAATTTTTAAGTGTAGTTTGGGTGCATCTGTGTCACTGCACAGCAATGTTGCTACGGCAGCATGCTTTAGCACTTCTTTTTGGAAGTACTAAAGCATGGCACAGCATGGGTGGTTACTGTGCCATTCATGTCACACTGTTAGATTTTGACATAGCAGTGCACGCACTACACTGGGGAGTGCACCGCTACAGCAATGTAGCTGGCTATCTTGTGTAGACCCCTGTGATCACTACGTCGCTGTAGCGCACCATAGTGACATAGCGTGTTGCCGTACGGCAATGTGTAGATGTGCCTTTATTGTAGCAATTCTATTTAAGCCTGCATGAAATTAAAGTGTTTACATTTTAGATTAACTAACTGCAACTACAATTATCAAGCCAGATTCTAACCCCCATTAATAAATGGTGGAGAATTCTATAGTACCTTGTTATAGCACTGACAGTTTGGAAACAAAGATCTTAGCCATCTTAGAAACATAAATATCCATACCCTACATACAATCCAATACAACAATACTAATTAATATACACATTACAGAATCAAGCAATGTTGATGCAAGCAAGATGATAAGAACTGGTGCAGGTGATATAATGATCAAGTTAAAAATTAAGGTGTGTGTTATAGAAATAGTTTAACAGTTTTAAAAAAAAAACCCACACTTACCCTGTTTATTCAACTTTGTTCCAACTTCTGGAAGGCTACAATAAACAACATCTCCTAATGCTTCCTAAAAGCAAAACAGATGCAGCAGGCATGTACATTAAATGCTATTTGAATGTTGGGAAATAATTCATAACAGCAGCTCCACAACTGATTACATTTATTAATTGTATTTCTTCAAGTAAGATGGGCGCTACAATTAAACAAAGTCAGCCGCATTTGATGTTTTACTTTACAAGTGAAATTAGCTTCTTGTGCCCTCTACATTGCAAGGTACTACTCTGTGTCAGGTTTTAATTAAGTTTATGGTTGCATTATGATGTTGTAAGAGAAAGACTTGCATGAAGATTCCTCCAGGCAAAAGGCAAGAACCAAGACAGATTCTAGAGGCAAAATTCCCAGTGACCTTAGGGACCAAGATATGCTTCCCAAAGCATGAAGTATTTACTGTGTGTGTCATTTGAATGACCAAGCTGTGCACAACTCCTAGTTTCCTGATAAACATCAAAATATTGACTAGTACACAGTGCTCAGTGATCTTTCATTTTGTCCTATTTGAGTAGGGTGACCATATGCCCTGGACTGGCTAGGACAGTCCCAGATTTTATAGGCTGTCTTGGCCTTCCAGACAAGTCCCAGCTGGCACAAACCTGTAAGCCATGGAGAAATCGGGAGAGGGTGCTGCCATCCTCTGCCCTGGATTTCCCTAAACTTACTATAGTCACCCTACATTTGAGTAAATGGGAGTCTTGCCACTGGAGTTCAACAGCCATCAAGCCCTTTAAGAAACAAATCTGCCTCCATCCTATACAAGTGAAGCAATCTTTCACAGTATGCATATTATTTACAGCCAGAGAGCTGAAATTACAAGAAAAATACTATTTATCCTATGTAATATTAATCCCATTCACACAAACCTTAAGACAGATTTTCAAGCATCCCATCCATCACATCACATTTGGCTGTTGTAGGTTCAGATAGGGTGCTCTGGATTTTTTGTGTTCATTTATAAATGTCTCTCTTTGATCAGCATCTTGTTAAACTAGGATTCAAGTTAAAAATATCCCCATCCAAGAGTTTGAAAACCAGGATGTCCAGTTTCTCTGGGTAGCCCCACCATTTAGAGGCAGCTGTAGTACACTGTACACAAACCCTTTTCAATCAAAGGAGTTACACACGAAGTCCAGGTAGATTTTGGCATAAAAGGGCAATTTTTTTCATGTAGCCATGCACTCCTAAAGCTCACAATGAAAACAGGATTAAAGTAATAAATCTGATCTGTTATTCAGATTTAGCAGATAAGATTCATATTGAACTTCAGTTAATCCTATGGAAAACTGCAACAATCAATAGTTTCACAGAATGCTGAGACAGCAGGATGTATTTTAGAAATAATTTAAAATCCAAGTCCAAAATAGGCCTCAGTGTCCAACATATGCAATTAAAACAATAAAAGGACAGTAACAATCCAAAGATTAAGGACAAACTTAGGTATGTATAAGTAAATATTGCAGACTGGGGTGAAAAAAAAAAAACAATACCTGTGCAAAATTGCTGATTCCTACTGTTCCAATACCATTTTCAACAGATATCCACTCATGCTTGTCTGTATATTTGCGGGCTAAAATGAAACAGACCCAACATTTTAGAAGAAGTTGGAATTCCACTTCCTTAAATGCTCCAATACATTAGCAGTTTTAAAACCTTGCCCTTAATTACTGAGACACTGTCAAGAAGATATTTTTAACTACATGTGAATTGCCTATATGGGACAATTTGAAATGCAATGTAAATGCTTTACGCTACAACCAAATGTCAGATCACCTCATTTGTCCTGTGCAACATTCACATGAGGTGTTGGAATGTGCATCGGTTCCTCATTTAGATTTATCTGCCAAAATATTTAGCACACAAATTAAAAAAGCAGCTAGATTCATTGAGAAAAGAAAATGGCCTCCTGAACTACACTGTAAGCGACCCAATAGGAAACAAACCATCTCCCATTTGGAATCAGCTGGGGCATGATTAGGGTTTAGGTAAAATATAAATATGCCATAGGAAGTAGCAGCAGCAATGACCAGAGCACAATATTCAGCCCAAAGCACTACCTGGTGCCTTAGATGAAAAAGAAAATCGCATTATTAATTAAACTAGAGTTTACGTTAACTTGCATTCATTGCTGTGTGTCATAAACAACTTTTAAAGGGGCTTCTCTATATATTTAGTATTGTTTAAATAAGCCAAGTCTCCTCTTTACTCCTAAGAAAGCCAGATCTAGTAACAGCTCTGAGAAAATGACCTTCTCAGTGCCATAATCAATGTACTACACTTTAACTTTCCTAAGTAGCATGGAGGGGTCACATTACTCCATTTAATTTTTCCTGCAAAGTAAACTACTTTAACTAGCAGAACCTCAGCCACAGTTGTTTCTTAATATATCTTTGTTATTGATGATTGCCACAACTCTGCCCAAAACAAAATCTAAACATTCCTTTTAAAACGAGAAACAAAGCCATGACATCCTGTCTTATGCATTCTGTACCATATTCTCACAAAGGTAAGTAAAAGGCCTGATTCTGCTATCTTCATTCGCTGAAGTTTATCACACTTGTCATGCGAGTAAGGATTACCCAGCTGAGTAAGGATAGCAGGATGTGGTCCTATGATATTAATAACTGTTGTACAACCATTGGATCTCCTGTGACACATGTTAAAACAGTTATCATTTAAGACCCTGTTACAAAGTTTACTCTCTCTTCATACATCCATCTGCACAATAAAATATATATTCTTAAACTTATCATCATGGTATCTCATACCACTTAAACATATTTGTAGTACAGGAAATTAGAGGTCCGCTAACATATCTGTTGCATATCAGATCGGCACTGATAAAAAGAAACGTTAACATTATCAGCCATTGCATTATTTTGCCTGGTATAGCCGATAATGTCACCAAAAAATGCTGCATACATGCACATGGCCACACCCATGCACATGGCCAGGAATATAGCTGGGCACCTTGGAGCGCAGCGCCCTGCCAGTAAGTCTGCTGGGGGCCAGATCAAAGCCCCCACAGTGAGGGAGGGAGTGGGGCAGGGGCTGGCGCTGCCCAGCCAGGGTGGTAAATGCAACCCTGAGGCCAGGAGCAGAACACAGCTATGGACAGCTTGCTCTGGGGATGAGGGGGACAGCTCCCTGCTGCTGCGCATGCTCCTGGGGAGGGCATGGTGGGCATGTGCTGCTGCCCACCCGGCACAGCCCTGGCTCTTCCTGGCGTGCAGGTGGGGGTTGACCAGGGCTGTGCCAGGTGGGCAGCAATGGTGCTGGGAGGGGAGACTGAGGGGCTAGGGCAAAATTTTGGGTGGCTGCAGCCCCCTCCCAGCACCGCCACCACCTGTCCCAAGCCCAGCCCCCACCCAGAAGAGCCCAGTGCAGCCCTGGCTCCAGCCAACAGCTGCAGCCCAGCCACCCCACGCAGATCTGGGAGGCACGGCCCCCTCCCCTCCCAGATGAGCTGCAGCTCCATCCCATGCCACACCCCACCCCAGCTACATAGCGCCTGCCCCACTCCCCCCTCACAGCAGGGGCTTTGATCTGCCCCTCCCCACCCCTTCCCTCCCCTTCCACCACAATGGACTTACCAGCTGCACACAGCTTTCCATGCTGCCGGGCTGTGCGCATATACAGGCGTTTACTGGCCTAATTATCAGCCACATCAGGCCGATTTCCGATGCAGCCAATTTCCTTTATATCAGTGCGGATCCAATATTGGACCAATGAATCGGTGCACCTCTAAATGTTAGGGGAGTTTTAGTAATGGAAAATGTCCTATCAAATCAGCATTCTACAGAGGAGAAACAATAAAAATAATAAAAAAGATGTTTCCCTGCAAGTTCAGTGGAAATTTTTGGAATCTGTTTTAAATATATATATATATCTTCTCTTGCCTCCAAACCAGCAAGTTTGAGAAACTTTTTTTGAATACTGAAGGAAGGGCAAGTTCTTCAAGCTAACCATTAGGAACAGACTTGGAACACATTTAAAATTTAAAAGCAGACATAAGTAGAAGATAATGAGATTTGGATTATGCAGAGTTCTAGGGAAAAAGAAGGGGTGAATTATAGAGAAGATGAAAAACAGAATCTTAACATCAAGAGAAACAAACTGTCAGAAACCGACAGGAAGAAAAAAAAAAAAGAACACCAGATTTCTGTGGCTATTGATTTGGGTTAAGGGAGTACTGCTGATGGAAACTAAATATGTCTTTTTACATTAGGGGACTGGATGCATCTTTAAGTATTAAATCTGTTACTAATTAATCTAATTTATCAAATAAAGCTTTTAAAAAGTTTAAATCTCAAAAGGAACTCTCACCCACTTCTGAATGTACTCTATTCTCTTACTAAAAATTCTATCCTTAATCTCTCCACCAAGAGCTCTTTCCACATTGCCATCTGGAACAAATCTCCTTATATTGAATGGTTTTTCCTGAAATTCCATCTAAGGATGTTTCCTCCCCTGTCTTTAATCCCTCTTTGCTAATATACAGGTCTATAATCCAATTCAACCCCTTCCCTTCAACAGGTCCCTGAGAACTGTTTTTTCCTGGAGCAAAGACTTGCATTTTTTAATGTTTTCACAATTTTTTTTGCGAGTTAAGTCAACTAGTGTTAAAATTTCTAAGATTACTAGTTGTATAAAAAATATGTGTTAACATTTTGCTGCAACAGGGAAAAAAAATGTTTGTTTAGTTCCCACAAAATACCAGTACCTATCAAAAAGCCCAAACAAAATGTAAAGCAAAATGTCAAACACTCATTAGAATGTGACCTGACATAAAGGAAATAAGATTTTTTCTTTTTAGGTCAGAAACAAGGGTCTGTGGGTAATCAGAATTCCATTGGTTACAGGGGAGTTATCACTGAACCATGAAGACAAGACTAAACCAGTTCACAGTTCAAACTGAACACATTTGTTAAGCATTTCAAATGCAAACAAAGCAGCTTGTCACATGCCAGATTCAAAGACATGTTTCTAGACATCTAAATGCCTTTCTGAATCTGGCCCAGACTCACAAGTATAACAAAATATGATCTTTAAAGAATTAAAAATTCAGATGCAGTCTAGATCCAAATAAGAGTTGAGCATTTTGAACGGTGGGAATAGGGTACACATTGTTCTTGGTTGCATATGAAAAGCAATAGAAGAATTTTTCTTCCTATCCTAGCATAGGAACAACAAACATTATAAATAAATTCAGAGTCTCTACACACTGTAGAGACTTAATAACTAATCCTACTTGGAGCAGCCTCAAACATCTGAACTTTGAACACAAAAATCCCATGATTAAGCAAACAGTACACTATGCAAGATTCATCACTGCGCTACTGGTAACTGATAGCGCATCTACACAGGGACACTCAAGAAAATTAAGCCAAACTGGTTTGATGCTTGAATTTAAAGCACCTAAAATCCCTGGGTGGATGTTCTTATTAAGAAGCAACAAAGCCTTAACTCATTTCCAAAGTGAGTTTGTTTCATTTTTAGCATGCTTTAAATTCAGATACTCAGTTAATTGGCTTACCTTTCTTTGAAATCCCCATGAAGACATGTGCAGAAAGTGAGGGAAACTCAAGCTACCACAGAACAGGCATAAAGATCTTTATTTTCTCTCTTTAAAATAAGAGTGCAGTTTTAAATTATTACCTACATGGTATAGAAGAAATGCTATATACATCAGACAGGTCAGCATGACATCAACCAATTCAAGACTTAACCCTGTAATTAAGCAAAAACAGCTAAGGAGAAGACCACTTCTTTGCACTACTAATAGGAGCAGCAGCAGTGCAGGAGAAAGCTACATGGGTCAAGATAAGACCCTCAAGCTATTAATTATGAGGAAGATCAGGGCTTGGAAATCACTGTATCCCTTCATCTCTTCTTTGGCATGTATGTGGGATGTTGTGCATTGCCTGCCATTGATTTTTTTTTAAACAGATCTTTTCTTAATAGTTTATACCTGATTCAGTAAAGAAAGGCAAGGGCTTCATTCTCAAACTCCCACTACGTTTTAGCAAGTACTGGATCATAGATCCGCAGAAAATTTGGGTTGGAAGAAACCTCGGGAAG